GATAATCGCACAGGGGCAAATGAGAAAGTAATTACTGCTGTTGCTCTTTCTCGATGACAGTATTTGAAGCCATTTGATATAAACTGAGTGTGCTCGTAGGGTAACGGTTATCAGGACAGAAAATGGAACGGCTTTGGGTGAAGGTCAATTCTAGCTTAGCCTGTTGTGTTTAATTTCGTGCAAATCCCAACTTTAGGTTAGATAACAGGGAAGACTGGGTTCTAGACGTTGCAGAATAAGCAACAGGAAAACACTTCACGAACTTTCCCAAAAATTCTAACAATTCATGGATGATAAAGAAAAGAAATCTATTACGATTCAGGATTGCCTAGATCATAAAGAGTTACGATATCACTAAATTTTATGTTTTTTTAATCCATGTTTTGAATATTGCTGACACATGTATTTAGATATTCTAAATAAAATACAAAGAACAATCTGTAATGTTGCTGGCCCTGACCTGGCATCTCGCCTTCAGTCACTTTCCAGCCGCCGTAATATAGATTCCCTTTCTCTTTTCTATAAATATTTTTATGGTAATTGTTCTGATGAGCTTTCCCCTATGATACGTAGACTTTATGAATTTAAGCTCAGTACTGGATTGGCGGCAAGGTCTCATCATTTTACACTTGAAATAGCTAGATGTAATTGTAAATTCTATGCTAACAGTTTCTTCTATCACACTTGTCACTTGTGGAACACTCTTCCGGCTTCTTGTTTTCCAGTCAACTTTGAACTTTGAAAATTTAAATGCAATGTAAATCGTTATCTTCCGTTATCTTTCTCATATTCTCTCACACACATTACAACAGATAGATAGATAGATAGATAGATAGATAGATAGATAGATAGATAGATAGATAGATAGATAGATTTACATAAGAAATGTTCACATAGTTTGATTGATAGAGTCAAGCAGATTGACAATGCTTGACCGACATCAGAAGAAGTCAAAACTAAAAGAAATTTAATCGCATCATTTTGACCAAAACCAGACAAGACTTTGTTTGTCACCATGGCTACCGAACAACGCATGCGCAGCAAACGGTCGAAATAATCCATAAAATGGCGCTGATGTCGATGTTTATCTGCTGAGTGACAGAGACAAAACGGAAATAACCTTTGGCTGGAGGAAAATAAGAATTTCCTGAACTTTTCGCAATAGTCTAAAAGGCTATTTTGATTTCTGAATCTTCAGCATTGCTTGATGAAAGAATGAGTTTGTCTACGTCAAGTTCCTTGATGGAGTTGAGGACTTTATGTCTGTCCGAATTCACATAGATTCAGTAACCTTACGTCGAGAGAAAATAACGAATTTTTAGATGAAATAAACATAAAACATGGCGGATAAAGAAGTTCATAACATTCTACAATTATAAACTAAGTTTTGAACTGAAAATTTCTTTACATAATTTCTTGAATCATTTCGCCCAAACAAGATTAATATACGACTAAGCTATTTCAGTTTACCTCCTACTTATCTTTTAATCATTTCACACCAAGCAATGCGATAAAGCCACTAAGACGGCTTTTCATATCACCTTTCGCTGTCTTTCCCGCTACTCTCTCACTTCCGATCTGCTCATTTCAATAATTTTCTCTGCAAAAATACATAATTTTTCGGAATATAAGAACGACCGGGGTATAAGACGACTCCTTATTTTAAAAACATTTTCGGAAAAAAAAAAACTACAATCATATTTGATTCAATGTATAAATTCTGGATTTGTTTCATATTCCCTAAAACTTCGTCGTTGTTCACATTTTCAGTCAGATGTATTCTTATCATCCTTCTATAGCTCGTCCTTGGTAGGATGATATACTAAATCAGGCAGCAAGGACTCTGATCGGGAGATTGGAGCTTTTGAGGAGCGTGGAACCACCTCATAATTTCTGTTGTTCCTACGTCTACCCTGACCGGGTGTGGTAACACCTGTTAGGGTCCCACCTAGGGGCAAATAGAGAACCCCCAAATAAAAATCATTATTACATTTTTATAGTAAAATGACCAACTATAAATTTTATGTTCTACAAAATAGATATCTTAAAATATAGCTTTACGCTGAAAGCATAGAATTACATGCAAAATATATATATTTTTGGTACTAAATAACCCACGGAGGTGTTGATATGCCGTGAAAAAATGAATCAATCAAACAACCAATATAGAAGGACTCTTTCATACAAGTAATTCATATAATATCCTATAATTTCTGAAATAAATCAAACTGCATTCTAAAATATAACTTCATGGAAGCTAAAACATAAAACAAGCATATTAATTCCTGTAGTAATTATGTCCACACAAACATGTATAAGCACAAAAGCTAAGTATCATCTACCACGGATTCAATTGTGAAAACAGAATAAATATATATATATATATATATATATATATATATATATATATATATATATATATATATATGTCATATTCCACCAATATATGACCTCAACAAAACTACAACATAAAACACACATATCACTGCTAATAATAATCATGTCCACACAAACAAGTATATGCACAAAAGCTGAGTATCATCTACCATGGATTCAATTGTGAAAGCAGAATAATGTATATCATATTTGTATTACTTCAAAGTTCCCATGAAAATTAAATTTTGGCATTCAATGACCTACAAAGAGTTGATGTGTCGTTAAACAAATGAATCAATCAACACCAATTATGTTTCCTTAAGTCCAGCATTCATAGCCATATATTCGGACTGATATTGTGTAAAAGTTCAATACATTTTACTTTGTATCTAACGAAATTTTCTTGTTCCTTAATACTTTGCTTAACGTTTCGAAGGCATCTTTCGCTCACTCAATGCGCCTTCGGGTTTTGGTGTCACCTTTTCCATCCTTTGTTAAAAAAACATCGTAGATATTTCAATTTTTGCACTTGTTTGATTTTAGTGTCTTTAATTTGTAATTTGCATGTTGGATCCTACCTTTTGTTTGACAACCATACATTCTGTCTTTTTGCAATTTAGTTTCGTTTTCTTCACTACATTCTGTTCTTCTTGTAGTTTACTTTCCGTGTCTGTTACCAACATTGTGTCATCTGCATATTCTTTTGTTCTTAAGATCCTAACCTACAATAAGAAATCAGAAGTCTTTCGGGATTGATTTGATTTGATTTGTTTGCTTTACGGCATATCAACTCCTTATGTGTCATTTAATGACGGAATTTAATTTTCTTGGGAGCTTTAAAGTAATAAAAATATGATATATGTTATTCTGCTCTCACAATTGAGTACATGGTAGATGATACTCAGCATTCGTGCATATACATGTTTGCGTGGAGAACATTACTAGAGGCGGTGATGTATGTGTTTTATGCTGTGGTTTTATTGAAGTTATATTTTGGAATACAGTTTGATTTCTCAAATAATTTTAGGATATTATATGGATTAATATCATGAAACAGTTCTTTCATCTTGGTTGAAGTATTGTTGGTAATTATACTATAAATTGGTATTGTTGGTAATTTTTATATATAAAAATGTATTGCTGGTATTTTTATTATGGAAATGCAATTTTATGCTTTCATGGGGTTTTATTTTTATTCGGGGACGGGGTAACTATTTTACCCCAGCTGAGACCCTAACAGGTGCTACCAGCCTAAGTCAGTGTAGATTTGGGAACAACAGCAATTACGATGTGATTCCACGCCCCCTCAAAACCTTTCATCTCTCTATCAGATGCCTCGCTGCCGGATCTAGTTTGTCATTATACCCAGGACTATCTCAGGATCACCTCACTAGATAGAATAAAGTGATAAGACCTATCCTTTCAATGTTTGTAAATTTACTGAATTAATTTTCCATTCGTAGGTGGGGGGAGGTCTGATGCCAGTATAAGTTCTGGATTATTTGTCTATATTTCTGAGATGAGGTATTATGTACATTATTTACATTATTCGGACTATTGTCCTCATCTTTGTCGCCATATTTATTACAACGTTTCGGCCGTTGTACGCCCCGGACTTCTTCAGGTGGTTGGAATATCGAACTGAACCCTTTGTTTTGCTCACTGGGGTAACAGGAGATAACTGATAACTGACATCCATTAAACATGGCTTCTGGATTATTGTACTATCTTTCCCAAAGAAATCTAACTAACCGTTTAGTTCAAAAAGTTCTTTGTGAGGTGCTTCATAAAACGCTTTTGCATAATTTATAAATCATAGATATCAATCCTTTTGAATTTGTATTTCTCGTTCTGATATTATTCTGAACATTGCATTCCTTGTTGCAATGTCTTTAACGAACTCACACTGTTCTCGTCCTATTTCCGGTCTAATTCTGCTAAAAGCTCTATTCATCAGAATAAGCTGATGATAAATTTTGTCATGTTCCTCATTAGGCTGATTGTCCGATGGAGTTCGTATTTCTGCACCTGCCTTTCTATTACGTTTTATGTGAATTTTTTTTCACCCACGAATTCTTTACCCATCGAGAAAGGCTCCATCTTCTTCTTCATCCAGTTTTAGTTCCTATCAGTCGGTCTTTGCGTTTCATGAGCCGATAACACCACGTGGTATAGTTAGTAAAATCTTCTGATATATTATCACATGGATTCCTCTTTGCTTGAAAATGCTTTTGTATTCAGATTCAAACCTCATTCATAGAATTTATTTTCGACATCTTGCCATTTTGCATTTTTCCCCTAGAAAATTTCCTTTTTTACTTTTGTTCCTATCTTTGATGTACAGGACGCAGGCGGCATTTTTGACATCAAATAGAGTTTTGAAATGAAATTTTAGGATAAAAAAAGTGCGACTTATACACCGAAATATACGGTGGATGACGTAACCACAAATTTTAGTTCTTGCTTGAAAAATTGTTTAAACAAATGTTGGCACCAAATTATTGGATAGAAAATCAGGCTGAAAGCGATTGCCAAGCGTCAGAAATTAAGGTAAGCATTACTGACAGAAAAGGACTCTTGTTTGAATAATTAGCATTATCTAAGTGATGTCTGTTTTGGCGCCATTAATTTTGTACATATAACAATAAGAAGAACGTACATGCGCACTCGATACTAGTGAAGAATTTCAATGAAATTTCTCTAAAAGTGAGAGAGAAAAAGACGAGGAGGAGAAAGGGTGATGAGAAAGAAGAAGAAGAAGAAGAAGAAGAAGAAGAAGAAGAAGAAGAATGACGAGGAAGAGGTGGAGGATAAAGAAGAGGAGATAAAAGGAGGGAGAGGAGCAAGAAGAAAGAGAAAGAGCATAAATATGAAGAAGAAAAGGAGGGGAAGGAAGAGGAGAAAGAAAGTTCGAGAAGAAGAAAGAAAGAAAGATTAAAGGGGAGATGAGAAAGGTAAAGACGGAGGAGGGAGAAAAGGGATGGGGAGGAAGAGAAAGAAGATGAAGGAGACAGAAAAATCAAGAAGAGGAGGAGGAGGAGGAGAAGAACAGAAGGGGAGGAGAAAGAGGAAGAAGAAAGGGGAGGTGGAAGATGAAAAAGGAAAAGACGGAGGAAGAACAAAAAGGACGAGGAGGTAAAAAAGGAAGAAGAAGAAGAAGAAGAAGAAGAAGAAGAAGAAGAAGAAGAAATATTCAGGTTGAAAATATCGATGATTAAGAAAAGCCTATGAAGAATGGTAGAAGAAAAAAGTGAAAACTTAATGAGTATTAAAAGAGGAGGAAATTTTATTTTTTTAAGTTTATCGGCTGTCGTAGTTGTAGTCGGGGAAAAGATGTCCATTGTGTCATGTTTGAAACCAAAAAGGTTGTTTATCGCGATCTATTGAAGCCATTGACAGGACAGCTAAATCGGGAATACTGTCCTCGTCTTTTCTCCAGCAGAATCGTTGATCCGTGCTGACAGTCGCTGTGTTGAAACATGAAGGTTAATCAAATCTAGGTCGCAGAATGATACTAAAAGACGGTAAAAAAATAACTGGACATTAGTGGACACTTGAAAACACACACAATCTTCGTATTCTTGCTTTGATGAAGATCGATTGAGTAGATAACAGGCTGGAGAGTAAAAAGAAAATGTCTGAAGCAGATGGTCTAGGAAAACGCCAGGATATTCATCCAATCAGCGTCAAGATCCAAACGTCATCGCAAAGATGAAAACATTTTTGGTTCAGATACTTTTTCTTCATTGTTGCTATTATTATTATTATTATTATTATTATTATTATTATTATTGCTGGTAGCGGTGGCAGTGTCAAAAATAAAATAAAATATAATATGTTGACTATGATTGCGAAAATGAGAAGAAATGCTTCGCTATAAATTAACGCTGCAAACAAAAATCCAAAATAAGATTTGATATTACCCAACAGCATTAAAGAATATAATAAATATGAAAAGAAAATATGAGATAAAGAAAAAAACAGCCAGCAATATTTGGTTCTGTTCAAAATGGCGGCTTCGACCGTGGCTTCTAAATAATTATTACCTCTATACACCTTTTCATCGCATTTCATAAATGAAAACTCATATTAAAGCTTTCAAAGGAACTTATATATTTCCCGAAGTCTATGTGGGATAAAATGTAGACTGATAAAAACCGTGTTAAGAACGGCTTCCGAATAGAGAATGGATCTGACTTCCTTGGGAAAAAAAACTATCTTTTAAACTGCTTGTTTTTCCGTGCGATTAACTGCCAATCTCTAGCCCTAATGGGAAATCTGTCTATATTTCAGAAATGACTTACTAAGAGTAAATACCTGAAACTGAAATATTAGGAAGAGGCATGGCACGTGGAACTAGAACAGTCCGCCCCTGTGGACGAAATAAAGGGTTCAGTTCGAAATTCCAATCACCTGAAGAAGACCGGAATGTTCAAGGGCCGAAAACGTCGTGGATATAACAACAACAAGTCCTAACAGTGTAAATAGTACTTAGTGGGTAATATGAAATTATTTTTAGACAAAATTAGCCTCAGGTTTAATTTGATCTGTCTGTTTGGACTACTTCACCATTCTGCCTAATAGAATGAAGAAGCGCAAATCTTCAATCCACCCGAACACCCGTTTTTTTTTTCTTTACATCCACAGAGTTTTATATCATAACTAAAGCATGGCTTCCCCAATACATCGGCATAACAGGATAATTTTGATCAATTGCATCAGTTGGATTTCAAAATTATTTTCGTTTTTAAGGACGTTTACCAGAATCTATACTGGGAGCAAACTGTCTGCTTACGAATAGAAAAAAAATGAATTCAATAAATACTCAAAAATAGAAAGAGTCGTAAGACAAGGATGCAGCTTCTCACCGGACTTATTCAACTTATACAGCAATGTGATTCTGAGAGAACTAGAAATTCTACCGAGCTTAATTATCGGTGGTCACATTCTTAAGAACATAAGCTATACAGATGACACAGTATTGATAGCAGACACAGAAAGAAAATTACATGAACTCCTGCATAAGTTTATGAAGGAAAGCAAGAAAGGACTAAACATCAAATGTAAGGCGATAGAATATATGGTTGTTAACAAGAGGATCAGACTAAGTTGCGAACTACAAATTGAAAGTGTCAGAATCAATAAGGAAATGTAAATATCGAGGAAATGTTTTAACAGAGGCCGAAGCATGTGACATCGAAATCCAAAGACAAATTCGAATTGGAAGAGCAAGATATTACGAAACGAGATTATTCCATTAGAAACAAATAAAAGAGCGCTGAACTTTTATGTAATATCGGTCCGCCTATATAACAGAGAATTATGGACTGTCTCCTCACAGATGAAGGGACTTGAGGCCACAGAAATCTTGTTTTACAGAAGTATAATGAGAATAACATAGACGGAACATGTGAGCAATGATGAAGTTTTCAAGAAAATGGAAGCAAAAAGAACACTTCTACTTAGAATCAGAAAGAGATAATTGAAATTTCTGAAGGTAACTAATGAAGAAAGAAGGCTTGGAGAATTTGACGCTCACGGGACATACTGAAGACAAGAGAAGCAGTGGAAAACAATGAATAATCTACTTAATTAACTTGTGTCAATAGTTGAGAGAACAGAGACTGCGAGGTATATTAAAAAGATAAAACTCAGATAGGACGTTGTGGAGAGCAATGATCACCAACATCTTGAATTGAAGTGGTATATAGAAGGAAATATCTCAAACACGTGCATATGGCGAGAGGTTTTGATAAAAAAAAAAAACAACGATTGATCTTATTGCTGAAGCCCAGCTACAAATTCTTTTACGTCGGTTGATTGTTTTGATTGTTCATGTTTAGCGGCATATCAACACCCCTATGGGTTATTTAATGTCGAAATCAAAATATTTGGTAAGTAATGTTATTCGATTTTAGTTTTTAGATAATAATATTTTTAGTGATAGAATTCTTGCTAATTAACCCATAGCTGGGGGGAGAGAAGAGGTGGATTCATAGCTTTCCCAATGGTATTTGCGCGTAAGGGTAAACTGGAATTGGAACTCGGTTCTTCGATTAACAATTCCGAACTATTATCTATTACACCACCCGCACAAAACATTTATATTCTAAGATAATATGCATTATTATTATTATTATTATTATTATTATTCCTTTGATTTCTGGTGTGTACTCATTTCTTTCTGGGTCCCACTAATAGACAAGTTTAGAACTGGCATCATGACATTTTCCACTGACCAATAAAAAAAAAAGCAAAAAAACTCATATATTTTACATAGATAAAGCCCTTCGTAAGGTGTGGGCTGTACTCGTGAGAACATTTTTTTTGTATTTCCTTAAGGCATGGACTTCCAGAAACCCTTCAATTAGTCTATTTGACATCTTTTCCAACCAATGCGAGGGCTCCAACTACAACAGGGATTTGTGATGTTCCCATGTGTCACATTTTTGAGATTTCGATTATTATTATTATTATTATTATTATTAATAATAATGACTGTTTTGAGCCACAAACTTCAAACTATCATAACTCGAATGAAACACCATTAGAATCGATATATTGTGGCTAATGATTTGACAAACATTTATTCCCTTTTCGATAAAAAAAGCTGGACATTTTCGAGTTGCACCATGTTGAGGCGACTCGCTGGCGTGAATTTGCATGGAAGTTAAGTAACGAACTGATCTAGTGAAGGTGAGGAGAAGTGTGTAACCTTACGACTTCCTTACCTTTGTATAGATCCTTTTCTATGAAACATACAGTCGCCGTTTGGTGATGACGTCACTGTTTACACACACACACACATATACAACAATTGAAAGGAAAGAGGAAAAAGAAAAAAGAGAGAAAAAATTAAGGAGTGCGTGTAAAGTGAGAAAAAAGCGACAAAAAGGAAAAAAATAATCATAACATTCTACACGTAACAGGCGCATGGAGATGTTGGCAGGTGCATGCGCGCACGAGCGTGAAAGCACACACGCACACACATGCACTATGAAAAATAAAGTCTATATAAAAAAGAAGTTATCTAGCAGTCAATTGCTGACGCCCCTGACGAGTGGGTGGAGTGATTCATGGAGGGTTTATCTACGAAACTATGGAGTCGGGCTGCTGATGGTAACGTCAATCAACTAAGTCACAAACCGGGTATTAATTATATATATATAGATATATATATGCACTCTATGTCTGTTCATAATTTCTCTCAGTCTTTCTGTCTGTCTGTCTGTCTGTTCTCTCTCTCTCTCTCTCTCTCTCTCTCTCTCTCTCTCTCTCTCTTATGCTAGACGAAATCGTCAGGTCTGACGATTGCGTATAGCATGAAACAGTCTGTCGCCTCTAAGTGTTGACTTCAATGTTTACTTTTGTATTTACGTAGGCTCTATCTCTGATATTGAGCACTTTATCCCATGAATATAGCACACCTTAAGAGTATATTTCTTTCTATATATATATATATATATATATATATATATATGAAAATGGATTAAATCCGAAAATTATTTTAATATAGTTTCTTTTTATACTTTATTTTTATAAGCTGGTAAATGTAATTAATAATGTTCATTATAAACATACCATTTACTTAAATAGTTGTATGTATAAAATAACGTATAAACAGAGAATATATTTATATATATTGGCATCCCGAGGCGGTGTATGGTTAACGAGCTAGTTTTGCTAGAAAAAATTACGAGTGAGTAGTGAGTTCGATCCTTACTGGGCTCCCCATACTTTCGGCCTTTCACTATATATATATATATATCTATCTATATATATATATATATATGAAATAACGATATATTTATGTATCAAGAATGTATGTATGTTTTAGGATATTGCAACAAAAATATGTAAGGATTGCTACACAGTTTCAGTCGTGTTTTAAAGCATAACGATGTATCTCCTCTATTTTTAAATTAAATGTTACGAATATATATATATATATATATAGATAGATAGATAGATAGATAGATAGAGAGAAATTATGAACAGACATAGATAGATTGATAGATATCGCAATAGGTTAATAATTTTAATAGTTTTTTTTTTTTTTTATCTTAATAAGTTATGTAATTAAGCACTGCAGAGTATGATTCATTGAAATAAAACGTATTTCCTTCAATTGTGTTGTATAATTTTTAGCACAAGTCACACGTAAGAAGAGAAAAAGATCCAAGAATTCTTAATCGGAAAAAAATAACAGTGAATGATTCGTATTTGTTTTCCTTTTTTCTCTTTTTTTTATTTGATTTGATTTCTCTGTTAAAATGATTTCTTTAAACGCTCGAGAATAATTCTAATGCCATTCTCTCTTGTTTGAGTTTATGAGAAAAATATTTAGTACGCTAGGGATAATAAATCTTGAGATATTAGGAAATTCTATCAGAGTATTACCATCACTAACACTTTTTACTACTAATACTGGTACTAAACAAATAGCAGGTGTAGTCATTATATTAATCGTAAATAAAAGGTGTCGCGTTTGAAAGCAAAAGAAAGTCGAAAATTGAATTCTTTATAGACTATTGAAGTATTTCTTTAGAAATTAAAATGCTTCTGTGCATTCTAATGCATAGTAGTTAAGGATATCCTACTTTACGTCCTGGGTATGACGCTAAAGCACATAAGGCAGCAAGGCCTCAGGTAGGAGGGGTCTTAGGTCTGACGATAAAACACATCCGGCAGCAAGGCCTCAGATAGGAAGGGGTCTTAGTACTGACTATAAAGCACATCCGGTAGCAAGGCCTCAGGTAGGAAGGTGTCTTAGTTCTGACAATAAAACACATCCGTTAGCAAGGACTCAAGTAGGAAGGTGTATTAGTTCTGACGATAAAGCACATCTGGCAGCAAGGCCTCAGGTAGGAAGGGTTCTTAGGTCTGACGATAAAGCACATCCGGCAGCAAGGCCTCAGGTCGGAAGGGGTCTTAGTTCTGACGATAAAGCACATCCGAATGCAAGGACTGAGGTCGGGAGCAGTCTTTGGTCTGTCGATAAAGCACATCCGGCAGCAAGGCCTCAGGTAGGAAGGGGTCTTAGGTCTGACGATAAAGCACATCCGGCAGCAAGGCCTCAGGTAGGAAGGTGTATTAGTTCTGACAATAAAGCACATTCGGCAGCAAAGCGTCAGGTATGAAGGGGCCTTAGGTCTGACGATAAAGCACATCCGGCTGCAAGGCCTCAAGTAGGAAGGGGTCTTAGGTCTGACGATAACGCACACACGGCAGCAATGCCTCAATTATGAAGGGGTCTTAGGTCTGACTATAAAGCACATCCTGCTGCAAGGCCGCATGTAAGAAGTGGTCTTAGTTCAGACGATAAAGCACATCCGGCTGCAAGGCCTCAGGCAGGAAGGGGTCTTAGGTCTGACTATAAAGCACATCCGGCTGCAAGGCCTCAGGTAAGAAGGGGCCTTAGGTCTGACGATAAAGCAAATCCGGCTGCAAGGCCTCAGGTAGGAAGGGGCCTTAGGTCTGACGATAAAGCACATCCGGCGGCAAGGCCTCAGGTAGGAAGGTGTCTTAGTTCTGACAATAAAGCACATCCGGTAGAAAGGCCTCAGGTAGGAAGGGGTCTTACGTCTGGCGATAAAGCACATCCGGCAGCAACGCCTCAGACAGGAAAGGGTCTTAGGTCTGTCGATAAAGCACATCCGACAGCAAGGCCACAAGTAGGAAGGTGTCTTAGTTCTGACAATAAAGCACATCCAGTAGCAAGGCCTCAGGTAGGAAGGGGTCTTAGGTCTGACGATAAAGCACATCCGGCAGCAAAGCGTCAGGTAGGAAGGGGTCTTAGGTCTGACGATAACGCACATCCGGCAGCAAGGCCTCAAGTAGGAAGGTGTCTTAGTTCTGACTATAAAGCACATCCGGCTGCAAGTCCTCAATTAGGATGGTGTCTTAGTTCTGACAATAAAGCTCATCCGGTAGCAAGGCCTCAGGTAGGAAGGGGTCTTAGGTCTGACGATAAAACACATCCGTTAGCACGGCCTCAAGTAGGAAGGTATATTAGTTCTGAGGATAAAGCACATCCGGCAGCAAGGCCTCATGTAGGAAGGGGTCTTAGGTCTGTCGATAAAGCACATCCGGCAGCAAGGCCTCAAGTAGGAAGGGGTCTTAGTTCTGACGCTAAAGCACATCCGGCTGCAAGGCCTCTGGCCGGGAGGGGTCTTAGGTTTGACGATGAGCTGCATCTGGCAGCAAAGTCTCTAAATGAGAGAAGTTTTAGCTATGATGATAAGGCTCCTCGTCAGGAAGGGGTTTTAGGTATGATGATAAACTTCACCTAGCAGCAAAGCTTCTGGACTGGAGGGGACTATGACTATAAATTGCATCCGGCAGCATGGCGTCTAATCGGGCGGGATTGTAGGTATGACGACAAACTACATGCGGCAGAATGGACACTGATCTGCTGTGGTTTTAGGTATAACGATAAACTCCGTTTAGCGGCAAATCCTCTGATCTGGACGTGTCTTATGTATGACGATAAATTCTATCTAGGAGCAAGGCCTCTTAGCGGTGGGGGTTGTGGAATGTGGACTCACCTCTTAATTGCTTTTGTTCCCAGGTCTACCATGACTCTTGGTGGTAGCACTTGTTCGTGTTCTAGCTACGGGCAAATAGTTACCCTCACAAAAAGAAACTTGGATGAGAACACGATGAATGCATAAAAATACATTTTTATAGTAAAAATTCCAGCAATACATTTTCATAGTTAAAAAATTACCAGCAATACATTTTTAAAAAAAAAAAAAATACCAGCAATACATTTAAAAAAAAACAAATTGCCAAGAATACATTCTTCTAAAACAAAATTACCAGCAATATATTTTTGTAAAAAATACCAATAATATAGTTTTGTAAAAGAAATTACTAATGCTCCGAAGAAAATTAAATTTCGGCATTAAATGACCCATAAGCAGTTGATGTGCCGATAAACAAAAAATCTACTTCTTTATTCTGATTTTCTGTAATGTAATTGCACACACGCATTTATACACACTCACCCCGTACACATACATACTTACACACACGTATATATATATATATATATATATATATATATATATATGTGTGTGTGTGTGTGTGTGTGTGTGTATGTAGAGAGAGAGAAATGATGAACTTGAAACTGTAATCTAAGGAAAATGACATTTGTTCTGGTCACATGTAACTAAGTATACGTGTAATCAAAGTAAAAGAAAAGAGTGTATTCGGCATTTGGATGTTGCGTATAGGGAGATTCAAGAAAATCGGTCGGTGTGATTCCAAATCCAGTTATTTTGACAAAAATTCAGATAAAGTGAATAGAACCGGTTTGGATTTTTAAATGAGATTTCCCATTCTACTTCCGGACAGTATGATGGTCAAACAATATGTCTGAAAGATAGGAAAAAATATATATTTATTTTTTATTCAAGCTTTCGTTCTTTTCTCAAACTAAAATTCTAAATGATCTAAGTATTCCATCTGTCTTACCACTAAGATGACGAACACTGCGCTCTATGAATAATTATGAATATGTAGCTTATTACTTTGGTATTCTAACAGGTATTAATAAATACTTGTAGTTTCGGAAATGGTGAGAATGACAATTGAATTTACTGACTTCTCCTTGCCATATATCGCGTCCTTTCAGGGCGTGAGTGGTCGTGGCTCTCCACAAATTCCTATTCTTCATAGTTTGAAGTAATATTTGTTTCTTTTTGTATCCTTCCAACTTACTATTTTACCATCAATTTACACAAAGGTTACGTAAATTATGTACTGTTTCCCTATGCGCCTCTTGGTTTCACTATATCCGGAGACAGCAATTTGCCTCCCCCCCCTATTATGTGTCCCAAAAAATACAATTCTTTCTCACTGATTCTAAGTGACCCTTTTTTTCATTTTGTAAAAACTTCCTTGTTCTTCATAGGCTTAAAGTCATATGACGTTGAAACATCGGTACCAGTACGATCACCGAAGTTAAGCAATGTCGAGCCTGATCAGTACGTAGAGAGTGCTCACTTGGGAATACCACGTGCTGTATGCTTGGGTGTGTGGGTGGTGTAATATACAATGGATCTGGATTGTTAATCGAAGAACCGATTTCCAATTCCAATTGGGGTCTTTATATTCCGTTACGCGAAAATACCCTTAGGAAAGGCATGAATCCACATTTCCCACACCAACCATGGGATAATTAATGTATTACGAAGCTATTATTATCTCTAAAATATCATATTATCTAAAAATATCTTCTGGATTTAAATATCCTGCAAAGGGTTGATAAACCGTAAAAAACAAATCCATCAATCAATCGTTGCTTATATATACTGTCCATCGTAATTTCCAAATCTTTCTGTCGAATTACTTTGTCCTAAAACTCCTTCTTCATCTGCGAGGAAATTTTACGGTACTCCGTCATATACGTCGGCGAATATTTAAAAAAAAAAAGTTTTTCATTGCTCTTTTCTTTGCGTCTAACGAAATTTTCATGTTACTTTGCTTAGCTTTTTGAAGGCAAATTTCGATTCTCACTATTCGTTAAGGTAAGGAAGAATTTCGCTGTGAATTTCTTTAAGATAAAAAAAAAACACACGATTCGAAATTTTCATTTATGTTAGAAGGCGTTCAAATTTATTAAATACTTTGTGATATTTATTTTATTCTTTTCCTTTTAGGAGCCCAACACAAATAGTATGATATTCGTAATAGCTTCTGAGTTGCACTTCTTCCATTTACTGACAACAGCTAGTGAGATAGGAGTGGTGTTTTCCGCCAGCGTTTCATGTCTGGTGGGCCTACTTGCCTAATTAAAATCAGTATTCAAAACCTTGCTTTTATCTGCGAGGATCAAACACCATAAGCAGAGGTAAGCAAACAATTTTCATTGGCATCCAACTGACCTTGGATACCTTCAGATTGAATCCAATCATTATCGATTATATGATTCTAAATTGAAAGGTAAAATTGCTCTATAACGTTTTATCTTGCATTTTAGTGTATTAACAACATCAATGTAGTATATGGAACAATCATTTCAGGTTCGTTAGCCTTTTAGCATATTCTCGGGGTCAGTTCAAGAACCAAAGTAGAATGACATTAAATTATTATTTTATCGAAAGTCTTTCTCCAGGAAATGGTGGAATTCTTGAAGAAAAAAAAGAGAAAAATACGAAAATGTTAGAACAAACGTCGACAAATTCATGTAACGAGGAAACGGAAGTTTAATCTAATCAGATTGGCACTAAATATTGATTGAGATCCAAAAGATCCGTGCATCAGATCGAAGGAGCCCTTAAATGTAATCGATAAGCAAAAACAAGGGGGAAAATGAGGAAGAAAGTAAGAGAATTAATGGAAATGAAAGCAAAAACGTACAGATGAAGCAAAAGCCTAAAATAACAGAAAGTAGAACCAAAAAAGAAAAGAATAAACGAGAAGAAGAGATGGAAGGAAAAGACAGAAGGAAAAACACATAGAGAACATATTTCAAAAAAGGAAACCTAAATACATTAAAAAAAAGGGAAACGTAAAAGCAAGAAAGAGAAAAATAAAAAGCAACATAAAAGTTTAAAGAGAAGGAGAAAACGAAAGAGAAAGTGAAAGGGGAAGAGAAGGTGGAAGCGGGAGCGAAAGTGAAAACTGAAAATAAAGTGAAACTGAAAGAGAAGATGGAAACGGAAGGGAAAGTCAAAGAGAAAGTGAAAGCTAAAAAGAAAGTGAAAGAGTAAGTGAAAACGAAAGAGAAAGTGGAAACGGGAGAGAAAGCAGAAACGAAAGTGAAGGCGAAAACGAAAGAGAAAGTGATAGTGAAAGAGAAGGCGGAAACGGAAGAGGCTGTGAAAAGCAAAGAGAATGTGAAAACCTAAGAGATGGAGACGAAAGAAAAAGTGAAAGAGAACGTGGAGACTAAAGAGAAGGTGGGTGAGAAAGAGAAGATGGAGACAAAAGAGAAGGTAGAGACAAAACAGAAAATGAAAGCGAAAGAGAAAGTGAAAGAGAAAGTGAAAGTGAAAGTAAAATGTAAAAGAGAAGGTTGAAACGAAAGAGTAAATGAAAACGAAAGACAAGGTAAAAACGAAAGAGAAAATGGAAACGAAATAGAATATAAAAGAAAAAAACAAAGGAAAAATATGAACAAAAGTTGAAGGAAAAGCTGAAATAGTAGTAAATCGTAAGAGAGGGAGAAAACGAGAAAGCCATAAAATGTTGAAAAATAGAGAGAGAGAGAGAAAAGAAGAGTAAGAGGAGAAAATGGAGAAAGATAGAGAATAGGCGAGAAAAGAAAGTGAATTTAAACTTGGCATGAAAAGCAGAAAAGGTCGAAATAGAAGTCACGAGAAACAGAGAAGAAAAATCGGCGAAAGAGAGAAGCGAAAAAAAGCGAAAGAAAAGCTGGAAAAAAATCCAAGAGAAAGAAATGAAAGAAATGAAAGATGAAAGTCGAAAGAAGATAAAATAAAAGGAAAAAAAATAGGGAGAAAAAATCTCTAAGATGAAATTTCTCCAGCGTTCTGTATTTGGCAATTTTACATTTTCTGATTCCCATTCGTCCCGATTCCAATACTATAAAGGCAGATATTTGAAATTATATATATATATATATATATATATATATATATATATATATATATATATATATATATCGTCAGTAAGAAAGCAACTATATCGCCGATCAAACTATAGACAATGAACTGATTGAGATTGATTGATGGATTATGAAGAGATAGATAGATAGATAGATAGATAGATAGATAGATAGATAGAATATAAACAGATTGAGCTAGATTTGAACAGATTGAGACAGATCTGAACAGATTGAGACAGATTTGAACAGATAGATAGATAGATAGATAGATAGATAGATAGATAGATAGATAGATAGAAACAGATTGAGCTAGATTTGAACAGATTGAGACAGATTTGAACAATTGAGACAGATCTAAACACATTGAGCTAGATAGATAGATAGATAGATAGATAGATAGATAGATAGATAGATATAAACAGATTGAGCTAGATTTGAACAGATTGAGACAGATCTGAACAGATTGAGACAGATTTGAACAGATAGATAGATAGATAGATAGATAGATAGATAGATAGATAGATAGATAGATAGATAGATCTTCGTGATTCCATCACTTCACAACTCGGTGTCTATACTGATGACACAACTATATACTCCTGTCTAGTATATTTGATCGGTCCGATAAGATCAAATTGGGAGCTGGTTTCAAAACTGGGGCATGGAATATTTTGTTAACTTTAACGCCTCCAAAAGAAAGCTGTTCTCTCTTAATCTTCTGAGAGAACCTTTTATGGCTTCTGATGCTAATCTCTAGGTGAGTGACTCGGCTAACATTTTCCGTTGATATGAAGTTGAAAGATTACATTGAATCGACTGCTATGTCTGCTGCTGTGTTGTTCTAGACATTCTTTCATGTCAGAATTTATCTTACATATTTTAAATCTATTATTCATTCATGTTTTGAATATTGCTGACACATGTATTTAGATATTCTAAATAAAATACAAAGAACAATCTGTAATGTTGCTGGCCCTGACCTGGCATCTCGCCTTCAGTCACTTTCCAGCCGCCGTAATATAGATTCCCTTTCTCTTTTCTATAAATATTTTTATGGTAATTGTTCTGATGAGCTTTCCCCTATGATACGTAGACTTTATGAATTTAAGCTCAGTACTAGATTGGCGGCAAGGTCTCACCATTTTACACTCAAAATGGCTAGATGTAATTCTAAATTCTATGCTAACAGTTTCTTCTATCACACTTGTCACTTGTGGAACACTCTTCTGGCTTCTTGCTTTCCAGTCAACTTTGAACTTCAAAAATTTAAATGCAATGTAAATCGTTATCTTCCGTTATCTTTCTCATATTCTCTCACACACGTTACAATAGATAGATAGATAGATAGATAGATAGATAGATAGATAGATTTACATAAGAAATGTTCACATAGTTTGATTGATAGAGTCAAGCAGATTGACAATGCTTGACCGACATCAGAAGAAGTCAAAACTAAAAGAAATTTAATCGCATCATTTTGACCAAAACCAGACAAGACTTTCTTTGTCACCATGGCTACCGAACAACGCATGCGCAGCAAACGATCGAAATAATCCATAAAATGGCGCTGATGTCGATGTTTATCTGCTGAGTGACAGAGACAAAACGGAAATAACCTTTGACTGGAGGAAAATAAGAATTTCCTGAACTTTTCGCAATAGTCTAAAAGGCTATTTTGATTTCTGAATCTTCAGCATTGCTTGATGAAAGAAAGAGTTTGTCTCCGACAAGTTCCTTGATGGAGTTGAGGACTTTATGTCTGTCCGAATTCACATAGATTCAGTAACCTTACGTCGAGAGAAAATAACTAATTTTTAGATAAAATAAACATAAAACATGGCGGATAAAGAAGTTCATAACATTCTACAATTATAAACTAAGTTTTGAACTGAAAATTTCTTTACATAATTTCTTGAATCATTTCGCCCAAACAAGATTAATATACGACTAAGCTATTTCAGTTTACCTCCTACTTATTTTTTTAATCATTTCACACCAAGCAAGGCGATAAAGCCACTAAGACGCAAGAGAATTTACCGAGAGTGAAATTGAATGAGAAGACTTTAGTGAAGACAAATGAAGAGAAAGGACCATAAAAGAACAGGTATTAAGAAGTCATAAGATGGCGATTGATGTTGCGTTTAAATTGTTGAAGATTGTAGGTGGCAGAGAAGCAAGTTCTAGCGAAGAAAGTATTAGAATAGAACATTCGGTCGCAGTTCAACATTAAAAACTTGAAATCTAATTGCCAATCTTGTTGCACGCTTAAATTTATGCAGTGGGGGCACCAAATAGGAAAGCTGATTAGAACAATAGTCATGAAAATATTTGTTTAAGAGACTGAGAAAAGCCATGTCACCTCGGTGAGAAAGTGAATGATGTCGAGATGCCAGGTCAGGATCGATTATATTGCAGATCCTTCACAGTGTTTTGTCAAGAATTAATAATATTCGATTAATGTCATTAAGCGTTGTATTAAATTTATTGTCATGAAAGGAGATTATAATGAAAAATTAGTATTTGTTGTGTAACATAAATTACATTCTCTTCATTGAATTACAAACTTTTTAGTTATATTCAAGGGAACGATGAAAAGTTTTCGTTCTGATCATGATGTCCTTCTAAATAAAACTTTCATGTTTGGTCATTTCATCAGATTTTGTGGTTCGGGTCGAGAAATTTTCAGCACCCGCTCGTTTAATTGTATAAATATAGATATATTGAGGACAGTTTTTCAAGTTTGCATTTGGTCACATTGACAGCGTACCCGAGGGCAATATCATGCTGTATGAGTGTAAGTCTTCGATTGCCCAATGTAAGGCGGCCGTACTTTCAAAGCATAATATACTCGCTGTAGTTGCCGAGCATAACGGTCGGTGTTCACAGCAAGACAATCTGGAACAAGTTCTCCACTGCATTAACCGGGTATTGAACTCACACGAAGGACACATGGCACAGTGGATAAAGGCGTTGGTTAGATCCAGTGACAGGACCCAAAGAGTGTGAGTTCAATATCCGGTTAAGGCAGTGGAGAACTTTCAGAGGGAAATTAACAGGAGATAACTGATAACTGATATCCATTAAACATAGCACGTGAAACTAAAACAGTGAGCGAAATAAAGGGTTCAGTTCGACATTCCAACCAGCTGAAGAAGGCCGGAGCGTACAACAGCCGAAACGTTGTAATAAATATGGTGACAAAAATGAGGACAATTGTCCAAATAATGTAAATAGTATAGATAATACCTCATCTCAGATAATGAAAGGCCGAAACGTTGTAATAAATATGGCGATAAAGATGAGGACAATAATATAAATTGTGTACATAATACCTCATCTCATATAATGAAAGGCCGAAACGTTGTAATAAATATGATATGGCGATAAAGATGAGGACAATAATATAAATAGTGTACATAATACCTCATCTCAGAAATATAGACAGATACTGAAAGGCCGAAATGTTGTAATAAATATGGCGACAAAGATGAGGACAATAGTCCGAATAATGTAAATAGTGTACATAATACCTCATCTCAGAAATATAGACAGATACTAAACAATTAATGTTTATAAGTTATAGGTGAAAATAAAGAATAAACAACTCAGCAACGATTGGATAGGGTTAGGGTTACTGATATAATAATTTGCCGAAAATCATCAGTGAAAATCCGAAGAAAACTTTTGATTCAACCTGGCATATATTTTTATATCTTATTTTTGAAAGATCGCTATGAAAAAAACTGAAATATATCTACATATATTCATGGGGGATGTCAACTGATCAGTAGAAGGAAAATTCAACTAAATTCAAACCAGCCTGGAGAGGGTTGGGCTCCGTCAGGTTATCTTGCCCATGAAACACCATTGCTGCTGCAGAAGTGATGGTGTCTCTTAAACCCTAACGGGTTACGAGTCATATGATCATGATCGTAATGTTTATACATTGTAAATTCCATCGCAAGGTAAGCTTTTACCAACAAATCTACTTGTGCAACCACTTTAAACAACTGAAGCTGGAGAAATATGTCTTGTCCAAAAGGGGAGGTATATCCGATATGACGGACCCGAGGATGTTCACCTTAATTAAGAGTGAATATTAATACGATGTGAATTGAAAAAGAATCAAAATAGGTCGCACATATCAGCATGTCATTTGCGTTGGGCAGACGCATTTCAATGGAATCTGTCCTAAACAGGGAAGGAATTGGAGAGAACACCGTTGTTTCAAAATTAGACTCATTTCTGTTAAAGAGTTGGAGATGAAATGTATTGTCTGTGTGTCTCGCTTTACTTGCAAGAACTCAAACAGTTTGTTTGTTAGTCACTAGTTCGCCATCTTGTTTTTGTAACGGGTTGCCAGGTTACAAATCTGCAATTTTATTGACTTTCCTGAAATTTATAGACAATATTTTATATTTTATACAAAATGTATGTCTAATTTCCACAGGAGACATTTTAATTTTATGTAGACAGATATTTTTTATCTTTGACTAGAAAATACATTTCAGTCTGTGGAAGCACACTGTCGATTCTCTCGGCCCGTACGAAAATCGAATATATATATATATATATATATATATAATACTAAAACTAATTTTCTATGTTTCAATGTGTGTTCCTGAGATACAGATTAAACGATACATAATACACCAATCAATTTAAGAGAATATTGTACCTTGAACCACCGTCGAGTGCAGTACCAAACTTGACTAAAATTAGACAAGGGGTTCTTCAGTTAGGACCGTTCTTATTTTTTTTTTTACCATATTTTTAATAGGAAATTCAGTATTTGTTTTCGATACACATTCTTATATCAATTCGCCTATATAAACATAGAAAATTAGTTTTAGTATTTATATATATATATATATATATATATATATATATATATATATATATATATATATTCGATTTTCGTAGGGGCTGAGAGAATTGACAGTTTGCTTCGATTCCGTATATAATCAAACACTTGTATATTATATTCCAACTATTATGCGTGTGAAAAATAAACATTCAGAATATAGTCTAACGACATTATTAATTAAGTTTAATTTCATATAATACATCACATATTTATATAATTTACTGCACTACATTAGAACATTTTTAATAGATAAAAATTTGAAAGGTGCATAGGCTATATGTGTCACACAACTTGAGAAATAAATAAATTAATGCACGCTGATTTGCTGTCGTTCGGTATTTTGAAATAAATACGAGAAAGAAACAAGTATGTATAATAAAAAATATACATATTATTTTGAAAAAGACGACACTTATTTTACTCCAAATTTTCACACAATCTATTAATTATGAAACCCAGTGGAATAATAAACTTAGTTTACCGTCTTATTAGTAATTAATAATAAAATTCAAATATTGTTACTTCATCACTTTTGGATCATGAATTGATTTTTAAAAAAACCCATCATGTGGGTGGTCTCTATATATATATATATATATATATATATATATATATATATATATATATATATATATATATATATATATATATATATTACTTCCGGTGTTGCATTATATTTTATTAAAATTTTTGGCGTGTGGAAGGTAATCTAATTGGCTGTATTAACCACTTGGCGGTCAAAAGCTGCGGTCGTGTTTCTATCCAGCGCCTAAGTTTTTATTACTTATGTATATATATATATAGAGAGAGAGATAGATAGAGAGAGAGAGAGAGAGAGAGAGAGAGAGAGAGAAGTAAGATGAAATAAATAGATTTGAATACGATGAGATAGATAGATAGATAGATAGATAGATAGATAGATAGATAGATAGATAGATAGGTGTTAATATAAACACTTAATTAGAGAATACGCGAGTTTGAGTTCACGTTTCTGTTTTTCTTTTCTTTTTTCATACGGTGAAATTAAATTAAAGTCCATCAGCCTAGATGTATAGAGCCTTATTAAAAGAATGCACCTCTCGGTATAATCCAATATTTATCCCAAGATATCACATTTTACCATTAATTTAATTTTTGAAAAAAGCGACTCATGACATTTAAATATTTTAAATAAATAAATAGGTAAATAATTAAAAAAAAATAAAATACATAGACTAATAATAATTAGATTAAAAAATTAAAATTAAATAACAAAATTTAAGCACTTTCATTTATTAGGCATTAAAATATATCACTACTAAGCAGTTTATCTTTCCTTACACAGCAAAATTTAAGAACATTTTATTAAAGCATTCTCTGCTGTCTTTCTTACTGGTTCCCATATTGGATTAATTTCTATGCTTGGCCGGCTTAGGAGATTTTTGTGGCCTAGCATATGTGCTGATTCTTTAAGTTTTCGTATTTTCCACTGTTGTTCTCTATCTATTATTTCCACATCATCCCACAGAGGCCGATGATCTCGCTTTTCCCCTATGGTCAACGATGCTTGATTCTTTTTATTTCCTCTTGTGTTTCTGCCTTCTTATCTTAAAGTGTGGGGGGAGCCTTATATTTCTTAAGAAGGAGTGAATATAACAATAAAGATGAGGACAACAGTCCGAACAATTTAAATAATTACAATGCCTCATCTCAGAAATATAGACAGATCCTAAAAAAGCCATAGCGTATAACGGCCGAAACGTTATGAACATGGCAATAAAGACAACAGTCCGAACAATGTAAATAATTACAATACCTCATCTCAGAAATATATATGGCAAGATGCAAACAGATTAGGTACCATGCAATCAGTAACAAAAAATATTTAGTTGTGTTCATTGTTTAAAGATAATTCTACGTAAGATGTGTGAATAGCGATGGGGATGACTTTTAAGGCCTTTGAGGAATTTGGTCTGTATATTTTTTTGTTCCTTTTGATATAATTCCCAAAGCTCCAATAATAACATTCTACTGATTTCTATCTCAACGTATTTGTATTTACTTAGTGTTGTGAGGGAGAATATTTCCCTACAAGTTTGGGCCGGACGAAAGACATAAAAATAAACCTACATCAAGAGGAGTATCAGGAGGAGCAGTAGCTTTTGGTGTAAACAGTCATTCACGGCTAAACATTTACTTCCCTAGTTTCTATTCTACATTATGTTTCCCTGTACCAAAATGTAATAAACTTGTTGTTAAACCATTTCCAGTTTCCTACTGTTGTTTTTGATAACTCAGTTACAACACTTAGTTACTCAAACGGTTTAAAAAACTGTTTTTTATCCACTGGAACTGCAACATCTACCAGAAGACTTTTGATTTCAACATGATTTGCATGGATTATCTATTACTTTTTTAATCTTTTGACTTACATTTATTTCATAATCACATAGCGTACCAAGAATTTCTTGATATATATCAGAAGCACCAGACTATATATATATATATATATATATATATATATATATATATGTACGTATGTATCTGTATTGACCACTAATATCATATATATATATATATATATATATATATATATATATATATATATATATATATATATATATATATATATAATTTTCGTTATTATCATATTGTTAATCAAACTAAATATTGAATTAATTCATTTTGAAATGGTTTAAACTTTCTCTCTTCCCAACACATCAAATTGCTACAAATACAATTTATAAAGCTGAAAATTCCAGTCATTTTTTTATTTAACTTTCTAATGAATATAATGCTTGCCGGCAAACTTGTTCAGGAATATCTAAACTGTCATCTGTATACGACGACTTTTTAAGATCAATGGTTAAAAATGGCTTTGAACGAGTAAAGACCGTCTTTTTCCAGCCTCATAGACTGGTTCTACAGAATTACAACTATATCAGAAAACAGAAACTACATCACTTGAGGACTTTCAACAGCAGAAACAACTAAAATGGATCTTATCTTTCGTTTTACCCTTAGCCAATCGATATGATCTTTGCTTTGAGGCGCCGTTTCTCTCAGACATGTGCATGGCTTCTAGCAATCGGGTAATGTGCATATTGTTAGAATCAAAGCCACACCTTGGTTTTTACGCTGAACATATCCCAATGTTTCTTGTGGAGATACATACACTGAATTCCTAAGTTCGTCCGATCTTGATTCAGTATCATTCCCGATATTGTGAGAACCGAGTTTGGAACTGCAAATAGTTTGAAAAGGAGTTGACCTGACAGAAATGGCCAGTGGATAAAGACGTTGTTTAGATCCAGTGGCTAGACCCCAAAAATTGTTAGTTCAATAACAAGCCACAAAAGGGATGAACCGAAACTTGGAGAGTTGAGTTAAAGGGAAATAACGTAGACATCCGGAAGAGGCATGGTACGTGGAACTAGAACAATCTACCCCGCTGGACGAAATAACGGGTTCGGTTTGAAATTCCAGTCACCCGAAGAAGGCCCGAGCGTACATCGGCCGAAGCGTTTTTTGGTTTGGTTTGTTTTGTTTACGGCATATCAACCTCAATGGATTATTTAATGACGACAAAACTGTCATTGTTGGTAATACTTTTACCGTCAAAAAATCTATTTCTGGTAATATTTTTACCTTAAAAAATCGATTTCTGGTAAGAATTTTCCTTCGCTTGTAATTTTTTTTTTAAAAAATGTATTGCTGATAATAATTTTTTTTACAAAATATTTCTTCTATTAAAACCTATTTTTATACATTCATAGTATTTTGACCCAAGTTTCGGCATTAACTATTTGCCCATAGCTGGGACCCTAGCAGGTGCTACCACCCCGGGTCAGCGTGGACCTGGGAACACCAGCAATTAAGAGGTGGTTCCACGCTCCTCAAAACCTCTTGCTCAGAGGCCTTGCGATTGGACGTAGTTTATCGTCTTACCCAGGACGTGGATGTAGTTTATCGTCATATCCCGGACCGGAAACGTCGTAAATATGACAATGAAGATGAGGATAACAGACGAATAATGTAAATAATACAAGTATTCATAATATCTCATCTCAGATATATAGACAGATATTTTTCACACAAGACCCAAAAGCTATTTTTACACATTCATAGTATTTTGACCCAAGTTTCGGCATTAACTATTTGCCCATAGCTGGGACCCTAGCAGGTGCTACCACCCCGGGTGAGGGTGGACCTGAGAACACCAGCAATTAAGAGGTGGTTCCACGCTCCTCAAAATCTCCTGCTCAGAGGCCTTGCTATTGGACGTAGTTTATCGTCTTACCCAGGACGCGGATGTAGTTTATATATTTTTCACACAAGACCCAAAAGCTATTCAATGTAGAGGATTACTGGATGAGTGGAACTTCCTCCTTGCTAATGGAATATAAAGAGAATAATTCGAACCCGTATACGTGGTATGGTGAATCTTAGCTCTAAATGTATGAATCGGTGGAACTAAGGAATCTAGCTCGTCAGATGATTTGCCGTAGAAATTGAAGCATAAATAATTTCTTTTTTTTTTATCAACTTTATTCTTCATAAGTAAAATGCAGAATTCAATTTTTATTCAATCATATATTCATCATTATTGGCAATGTCTTGTTATCATTTATCAAGCAGCTCTGTGATAAATTGTCAAGTTCTAACGTGATGACCCTTTTGACCAACTCTTGAATCTGTCCCCCCAATCAAAGCATTTTGCCGCGATTTAAATATATGTATTACTCGGTTTGTGCAAGGCCTGGAGAATATGATGGCTTGGGCAGAACAGACCGATCGAGTTCTTTCCCGCGGCCGTTTGCGTCGTCATGGAGGAGAACAATTTCGACCAAACAATTATGGACACGTTACAGCTGCTTGATGTATAAATGTGCATTAAGTTTTTCATTTAGTATTAAGAACTCTGAAGGAAAATATAGCGACATTTCTACAACAGGTGCAGCAGTATTTTTCTTTCAAGGCACTCAGCACTTGGGGTTGGTAGCGTTGAACATTTTCATATGTTAGATTTATTAATTTAATTTGCTTGTCAACCCTTTGCAGATTATTTAAAAACAGAAAATTTAGATTGCAAAATTTATTTTTGGATAATAAGGGTTTACTGACACAAGTCCTACTAGTTAACCCATAGGGCGGGGAAAAATGGATTTGTAACTTTCATAAAAATATTTGCGCCTAAGTGAATATAACGAACCCAATTGGAACAGGAATTGGAACTCGACTCTTGGATTAACGTCAAATGATCGAATTCTTCAAATTTATTCGCGAATGTCATGTAAGATACATAGAATGATACATTCGTCTCTAGAATTTGGTTCCCGAAAACGGAAATTACTAAGAACTGAACTTAATAATAAGTAAGAATGGCTGTTCTTCCAAAATTGGTAAACAAAGAAGTATTAACTTATCGTAAACAATAACAGATAGAGATTCTAGTCTATTCGCAAGATCACTCCAGATTGCTAAAACTACACTTAACTATCTTTTCCATCGACCGATTGAATGGAAAGCGCAACCTTTCATGAATAGCTTCAGCTATCCTATGGTCTGCAGGCTTTAGTTTCATAGTCTCAGAAAGAGAAATTAGGCGGATGTTGTCCTGTTTCAAAACTTATAATTCTTGCTCTTCGACGCTCAGGATTTCTTTTCTTATCCAGCCGAGTTCTTACGTTCCACAATTCAATAAGAGTTTTTGTTCAACTTGTCCGGAAACTGTCTTTGGATGGTGAGCCATTGACATCTAATATCAATTAAGATTTCGTGTAGACGATCACTTTTTTCACGACCCCTTCCCAGGAAATCAGTTTCATTTCTAAAAATGGCGGCTATGTTGTAGAAGGCGAAAAGAACGTTCATAAATTCCTAATGTTATCCGAAGTAGCGACAATCTAAATGCAACTACCTTTTTTTTTAATCGAAATCATCTCAATCAAGGCAGTAAAGCCACTAAGACACAAGGGTTGACTAAGTGTGGAAAAATTAGAAAACAGAAACATTACCAATGAGCTGGAAGAAAAAAGGAGTAACCAGAAGACAGTAGATAGCGATTGACATTGCATTTAATTTTTACCAGATTAAAGTTGATTGGAAAGCATGGAGCCAGACGGGAGTTCTACAATTACTCTTTCCGTTACCAGCACGCTGATTGGGACTCATTCCGGGATTTTCTTCGTGATGACCCTTAGACTGATATCTTTAAACTCCCAATTGAAAATTGCGCCACTGAAGTTTCTCCCTGAGTCAAAATAAGCTATTAAATTAATCCTAAAAGTAATCCATTAAGTTAAATTTTCAATCGAAATACTCTAAAAATTAGTTATAGTTGTACTAATAATCTGGAAAAATTATTAAATCACGCAACAATAAAACACAAAAATTATATAACAATAATAACTATAATGCAGGTACCAATTCTTATATATCCCGTGTAACTAACCTGTGTAATTGTGGGAGACCTGACCAATGTCCATTATCTAACAAATGCTTAACAGAATCTATTGTATATATGTGTTCTATTTCATCAATTGAATGTCCTAGAAATATTAGGTTGTACATTGGTAACAGTAAAACTACTTTTAAAAACAGTACTATAACCATCTATCTTCTTTTACTAATGCTAACAAACGCAATGTGACTTCGCTTTCTAAGTATTTTTGGAAATTGGAAGAAGAAAACATGACACCTAAAGTTAAATGAAAAATCCTCAAACAAGCCAGAACTGGTAGATCTTTATACGAAACTTGTTTTCTATGTCTACATGAGAAAATGAGTATAATTAAACTTTGGAATAGCGGTCAACTGTTAAATCAGAGATTTGAAACTACTGTGAATTGTAGGCACAGTAAAGATTTAACCTTACAATCTTGCTAAACTTTTAACTTAATAATCACTTGTCTCATGTTATATTACTTTCATATAAACATTTTAATGTTATCCTTACTGATTTGTCTTAAATTAAGATCATAAATAGGCACGTAATTCGTATATTATTGATAATAATGTTTGTTGTAGATAGGTTTATATTTATATTACGAGTTATGAGGTTTGGTAATAGTTTTAAATTGATAAAAATTCATATAAATATTTTAAAAATTTATATTTTATTTTAATTATTTTTAAATTTTAATGTAAGATTGTGTGTAGTTAATTTGTTTTTTTGTGTGTCTAATGTTTTTACTTCTTAAAGTGTCTTTTATTTACATACTAGGTTTAATTTTGTTAAATGACATGTTGGTTTCTTTCAAACTGCCAAACTAACTTAACGGATACATTGTATGTAAAATATTTTCTACTCTGTTGCAATCATATTCTGTAAATTTTGAATCGTTTTCTATGATTTCTATCTCAGTGTTAACGTTTTTTCCTTGACTGAATTGTTATCAACAACTTCTATTGACTTTCTACTTTTCTTTCTCCTTTTTCTTTTCTTTGTATTAATTAATTTCATATATATTTCCTCTTCGCTTTTCTCTTCTTTTTTCTTCCTTTTCTTAGAAGAAGAGAGGATTTTTTTTATGCCTTTCCTTTTTTAACTCTTTCTATTTCTCTTTCTTTTTTCTTTTTTCTTTTTTCTTTTATTAATTTCTTATCCTCTTCTTTTTTCTGCTTTAACCTGCATATGTTATTATTTCTTTCTTTTCCTTTTATGGAAAATTTTATATATTTCTTTCTTTTCCTTTTATGAGAATTCTTCTTATGTCTTTCTATATTAAAAAAAAATAAAAACAAATATTCATCTTTGTAGTGATTACTTGCTTTTCCGTATGTAACAACTTATAATAAATATCATAATTAAGTAATTCATCGAGTCGAGAAGGAACCTCAATAGAATGCAGACGGCCGTTTCGTCCTATATTTGGGACGTATCAGCAGTGCGTATCCACTACCGAGAATTGAACCCGGAACCTTTCGATACGAAGCAAACGCGACTGTACCAATGGGTCTGGGTTCAATTCTTGGTAGTGGATGCGCGCTGATGATAAGTCCCAAATATAGGACGAAATGGCCGTCTAGTGCTTTCTGCATTCTGTTGAGGTTTCTATCAGACTCGATGAATTACTTAATTATAATTATCTCAAATCCTCCTAATAATTACTATCACTATATATATATATATATATATATATATATATATATATATATATATATATATATGCACATTTCATTGAATACGACAGACAAGGTGATTTGATTTAGTTTTTTATACAAGTTCTCATGCGATCTAATATTATTTTTTTCTTTTCAGATGATAAATTATATAAAAACTGTTCGAATGTTCTTTTAATCCACTACGCCAAAGTGCCCTGAAAGCGGAAATGTCTGCAAAAGAATCTAAGAATCTTTAATTGCGTTGAAAGCAACGCCAACAATTTGTTGAATACATATTTTGGTAGTTTCAGAATTATTTTTAGCAGAACTTTCAAAATGTTTGTCGAAAAGCGAAAGGCGTCTATTAATAGGAAATTCTACAATTTTGCAGCAGCAGATTTACTTTGCTCTGACCAATAACGTTTATCAGCACCCTCCCCAAATGTTGTTGAATGGAGGGTCATGAAATTTAGCTTTTCTTTGCACCTTGATCCTTTTAATGAAGCTTCGTGACATTTTATATTTTAACTTTTGACTCCCGAAGCATTACCCCTTCTCCCTCCACCTCTCACCCTGTCTGTCTGTCTGTCTGTCTCTCTCTCTCTCTCTCTCTTCATTGTATCAAGATATGGACGCAAAAACTGACTGAAAATAAAAGGACGGTAGCATTTCTACAACTGAAATACGCCATTTACTTCTTTCCGGCATTTTCGATGATATAAAGACCCTCATTGATTTTGGCAAGGAAATAGGAAAAGATTATCAGTGGAAATATCCACTGCGAAATAGGAAACAGATAGATAGATAGATAGATAGATAGATAGATAGATAGATAGATAGATAGATAGATCTGAACAGATTGAGACAGATTTGAACAATTGAGACAGATCTAAACATTGAGATAGATAGATAGATAGATAGATAGATAGATAGATAGATAGATAGATAGATAGATAGATGCAAACAGATTGGGACAGATCTGAACAGATTGAGATAGATAGATAGATAGATAGATAGATAGATAGATAGATAGATATTGAACAGTTCATGTTATCTTTTTAATGTTGTTTGTAATATGAGAAAAGACAGAAAAGATATCTTAATAACATTGACGCAGCTGTTTTTCTCACCGTTTAAACTTTTATGAAAATATTTAATAATAATAATAATAATAATAATGTGTGTTGAATCTTATCTGTTGCGTTCTGTTTGCTTATATAACAATGATGTTGGCAATCTGCTAAGACTACTCGTGAGGTTCTAGTTACGACGAGAATTGGCTATAAATTTAGTGATCCACTCTGTATGTCTATAAATGAGGAGGGATCAGTCATCCCGTAGACTGACAAATAATTACTGATTCATGATTGAAATCGATCAATTCAATGGATCATAATAAGTCAATTTAATAAGGTAGGTGAGTAAATAAAAAAAAAAACATGCTTGATAGTTGAATACTTAAAATTGTCACTGTTAATGTGATACCGCCCCGGCTCTGTAACTTCTGTTTGGCTGATCACCAGGGCATAAAAATGATAGGTATTTCAGTGATATCGAGTGGTCGATTTAGGGAAACAGGTTGAAGGCCTTGTGAGCGGCACAGAGTTGAAGACAGCTGTTACGGTTCAAGTAATTCGATATTATTTGTTTCACTATCAACTTGATACAAATACGACCAGAGAATAAAGTCGTTTCAAGTCCACATTTCATTGCAACCTTCTCCACATATTTGACACCAGATGACAAATATTTTTCATCACTTATAAATCTACGCACGAGGGCACCTCCACTTGGTGTAATGGTTAACAAGCTTGTCTCGCTAGAAAAATTCCGACTGAGTAAGTTTTTTTTTGTTTTGTTTTTTACATTAAAGGTCATCCGATAAAAAGCCCAGGAGCTACTCAAGATAGAGGCACCGTTTATGCGGATAGGCGGGGTTAACTCTAGACGTGAAAAGGTTAAGAGTATAGTGATCGGGAAAACATCCTCTTGAGAATCGGTTCCACAGATCAGTGATTCACAGAAAGAAGCTGCTTAAGTGGAACTTGCTTCTCACCAATAGAGTTCATGGGGGCGGTTCGCTTGAACACATGTAGTATGACAGGTCCCAACCGTGAAAATTAGAATTGGTAGGACTAAGGAATGTAGTTCGGCTGAGGACTTCTCATGGAAGTAACAATAGAATATTGAGAATCTTGCTATATCTCGTCTGACAGAGAAGGTTGAAGGGTGGGATATAATTTGTCACCTACAAGAACTCTGAGACGCTTTTGGAGTCTATCGCTACAGGAAAGTGAGGACTGGGCAGCTCCTACACAAATCTGACAGCAGTACTCCATTTTAGGCCTGATCTGAATTTTGAAACGACACAAGGAGTCAGGTACCTTCTAGATCGGTACAGGGAACCGATCATTTTTCCTGCATCTTTAGCAATGGATCGTATGTACGAGTTCCACTTGAAGTCTGGATTGCGTTTAAGGCCCACTAGTCGTTCAAGGCACGTGACTTCCTGAAGGAACATCCATCCATCGTACGGAGAGTTCAAGAATCGGCGATGATTGGCGATTATGAAATGTAACTAGTTTATTTTTCAAGGCATTGAATCTAACTAGCCAGTTTTTTTTCTCCACTGAGCTGTTAGAGCGAGATCAGAGGAAAGATCTGATACCAATCTCTGGTCATCTCTGATTTTGGAGGTGCACCCATATACCGTTGTATCATCAGTATAAATATTCACTAATTATCGGAGTATTTTCTTTATGCAAATTAAAGAGAGGATTGTCCCGAGAAGCGACCTCATGGTAGGTCCCCAGAGAACTGGCCGTTACCAACTACCTTCAGGGGCCTACCCGTTAGGAAGGACTTTGTAATGGAAAAGACTATTCCAGTTATTCTATAGCAAGAGAACCTGCTTTGTGCCACACTTTGTCAAAGCCCTTAGAAGATGAGTTCGAATCTCACTGAGTGCCACATACCCGCGACCTTGTGTCGCATCTAAGATAAGCTTAGAAAGTCACCCTAAACGTATATTCGAATATATAAAGAAAAAATGGTAAGTTGAAGATGAAGGATTCAAAAAACCAAAAACATACTTTAAATTCAAGCGATTTTAAAAGCAGTTAAAAAAAAGTTGGAAACAAACACAATTGGAAGACTGGACCATAAAAGTAAAGTCTACGACATGATACGCCAAACCCATATACCTAAGCCTGTATTTGAAGTTTTTCAAAAGTCTTGTGCAAAATTCATAATTCTATGAGGAACTAAAAAAAACAACTATACACGCAGAGATATGTTAAAAAAAAGAAAGAAAATCTTCCAAAAAGTTTCACTGTCTGAACGGTTCTTTAATATGATCTTAAGAAAAAGAAAACAGACCAAAGCAATCTGAGAAACCATTTGAGAAAAAGGTTAAATAATCCTTTACAAAGAGCTGAAAAGAACTGAAAACATTGGTTTCAAAATATTTTAACCGATTTAAAACGAATGCTGTTTGCGGGGACATTTTAAAATTCAATGAGCGCTTCATGGTATTGATTTTCTTGTACAGTTGTGGTGTTACCTCCACCTGCTTTCCTGAAACCACTATTAGAGGACGCTCTCTGGACTATAAATACTCTGCGATCATTTTTCGTCGCCTCTTCTTACCTTTTCTGCTTACACGTCAACATGTAGGTCACGCGCGGAGAAACGCGTTTTTCATTGGGAAAGGCACGAACAAACCACACACTTTCAACACAAGTACGTACGCACATTCACTCACATCACATTTTTTGGACCAAAAAAGTTTTTACATTCTTATATTACACACATCATTGTCTTTGTCACTTACATATCTTTCTTGTTATATATTATCATTTATTTGTCCATATATCAATTCTCGTTGTTTCTTTTTGTTTATTCATGTGGACACACATACCGAGACGGACATGTTTGCTGTAGTTATTTCAAGAGACACGTTTTCCTTCCAGGAACCACACGACGTAACTAACAGCTCGCAACACAGTAGATAAAAGTTATTCCTTATAATGATAGCAAGATTATTAACCGGATCTGATAGCCAGACATCGTGACAGGTAAATGGACTGACATTGACTTTTAAATGTGAATATATATATTGTTGAATTTTTTTGTTTTTTGTTTTTTGTTTTGCTTTTCATGTGAAACATCTCGAGATGACCCAGGCTATATTGGGATCGTTTGGCATAACTGCAAAGAAAGAAAGAAAGAAAGAAAGAAAGAAAAGAAAATGGAAAAATAATGTTAAGAAAGAAAGAAAGAAAGAAAATGGAAAAATAATGTTAAGAAAGAAAGAAAGAAAGAAAGAAAATGGGAAAATAATGTTAAGAAAGAAAGAAAGAAAGAAAGAAAGAAAATGGGAAAATAATGTTAAGAAAGAAAGAAAGAAAGAAAATGGGAAAATAATGTTAAGAAAGAAAGAAAGAAAGAAAGAAAATGGGAAAATAATGTTAAGAAAGAAAGAAAGAAAGAAAGAAAATGGGAAAATAATGTTAAGAAAGAAAGAAAGAAAGAAAATGGGAAAATAATGTCAAGAAAGAAAGAAAGAAAGAAAGAAAGAAAGAAAGAAAGAAAGAAAATGGGAAAATAATGTTAAGAAAGAAAGAAAGAAAGAAAGAAAGAAAGAAAATGGGAAAATAATGTTAAGGAAGAAAGAAAGAAAGAAAGAAAGAAAATGGGAAAATAATGTTAAGAAAGAAAGAAAGAAAGAAAATGGGAAAATAATGTTAAGAAAGAAAGAAAGAAAGAAAGAAAGAAAGAAAATGGAAAAATAATGTTAAGAAAGAAAGAAAGAAAATGGGAAAATAATGTTAAGAAAGAAAGAAAGAAAGAAAGAAAGAAAATGGGAAAATAATGTTAAGAAAGAAAGAAAGAAAGAAAGAAAGAAAGAAAGAAAGAAAATGGGAAAATAATGTTAAGAAAGAAAGAAAGAAAGAAAATGGGAAAATAATGTTAAGAAAGAAAGAAAGAAAGAAAGAAAGAAAATGGGAAAATAATGTTAAGAAAGAAAGAAAGAAAATGGGAAAATAATGTTAAGAAAGAAAGAAAGAAAGAAAGAAAGAAAGAAAGAAAGAAAGAAAGAAAGAAAGAAAATGGAAAAATGAGAATAATGTTTAGAAAGAAAGAAAGAAAGAAAGAAAGAAAGAAAGAAAATGGAAAAATAATGTTAAGAAAGAAAGAAAGAAAATGGGAAAATAATGTTAAGAAAGAAAGAAAGAAAGAAAGAAAGAAAGAAAGAAAATGGAAAAATAATGTTAAGAAAGAAAGAAAGAAAGAAAGAAAGAAAGAAAGAAAGAAAGAAAGAAAGAAAATGGAAAAATGAGAATAATGTTTAGAAAGAAAGAAAGAAAGAAAGAAAATGGGAAAATAATGTTAAGAAAGAAAGAAAGAAAGAAAGAAAGAAAATGGGAAAATAATGTTAAGAAAGAAAGAAAGAAAGAAAGAAAATGGGAAAATAATGTTAAGAAAGAAAGAAAGAAAGAAAGAAAATGGAAAAATGAGAATAATGTTTAGAAAGAAAGAAAGAAAGAAAGAAAAAAAGAAAGAAAGAAAGAAAGAGGATAAGAACCAAAGAAAGAAAGAAATCGTTTGGCATAACTGCATAGAAAGAAAGAAAGAAAGAAAGAAAGAAACAAAGAAACAAAGAAACAAAGAAAGAAAATGTTTAATGAATTAACTTGGTATTTTAAAGTGTTTATATATGAAATCTGACCGGAAATTATCCGCTCATTTAATATTAACGAAAGTGTAGCCTACCCAGGACAATAACATCTTTGTTCCTTAAAATTACTGCACATTGGACTTAAAAGATTTAATTGCAAAGTTCTTTCCATGTTTCAAAACATTTTTAAAAGGCTTCCTTTTCTGGATAACCACTATCATCATCGTCACGATCGCTTAATCTCCTCCACACATGTTCATCTCTGATTTTACTACTGGGAAAAAGCCAAGAATCTTAGATGAGATGGAAGTTGCTGACAGACGTAGGTTCTGCAATATTTGAATAAAATATTCTGTACAAAAGTCAAAA